TTACTTAGCACAGATGAAAGTTAAAACAAAGACGTTTAGCAAACTGTTAAAGCACACAAACCATCGTCATATAAGAAATCCGACACTATGACTCTCCACAAGTTGTCCTTCAGGTAGTTATCTTTGTAATATTTGTGTTTTTTATCAAAAAGCACTCTGTTCTCCTACACATAAACAATCAGCCGGTCGGCCATGTTGGATATACCGGTGAATCTGACGTCGCAACAACACGCAATCTGATTGGTCAGAAGTGAACACACAGTATACGAAACTTTTAAAAAATTCAACCGTGATACGAAAAAATAAATGCCGCAATATTGCAGGATGGGAAAGTGTCACTGAAGTGAACGCTTTTATTGACAGGATACAGGTTTGAAAAAAAATATTGACGTCTGAAATAATCGCAGGAAAAAAACGCTCCCGGTGTGTCTGTCGCAATCCTAGACTGTATATACTATGGACAACTTGGTTTTGCCATCCGCCAGATTTGAAGCCGAAAAGCTCTCGGTATTTCCGCGATTTTTCTTCATTTCCTGAAACCAACATTGTGCAGTAGCGTTGTACACATTCGGCTGGAGAGTCGCCGAGAGTTGCTGCGATGACATTTGGGTCAAACAGCGTATTCCCTGTGTGCAATATTTTTTTTGTAGGTTGGTAGGGGAAAGTCCCCCCTACTTGGCCTCTGATTGGCTGGAAAAGCTGGAAACGTCAAAACACGCTCAGGCCAAATGCGAGCTGTCGGCTCTGTACATCGAACAGAACATTACAGAAAATTATCGCACTTCTGAATCTCCTTACCCTAACCCTAATTCTAACCCTTACCCTAACACTAACCCCTAACTTTAACCCTAATCCTAACCTTAACCCTTACCCTAACCCCTAACCCTAATCCTAACCCGATAGACGTTGACGTTTCACAGCCATAAGGAATAACCAATTGGAGCCCAGCACTTCTAGCCAATCAGAGGCGAAAGACAGCAGGACCTTTCCCTACATCTTACAAAATAAAGTTCGTCCCCCTTGTGAGCTACGCGATCTTCATACGCCCACAGGTTGTATCAAGTGTTAATCATAGAAAACATGAACCCCTTAATAACTTTTGAGCTGTACAGAAAAAAGAGGACTTGACCACAAACCAGTCTTACAGTAACTACATGTCAACATCGCAACCAGGGTTGATTTCTAAAGTTTGTCCACAGCTCCATAGGGATTGCTGGAGGAGGCAGGATTTATGACCAATACTGCAGCCCATCACCAGAGGGTGCTGTTGTCGGAGTGGCTTCACCCAGCAAGAAGGCAGACGGCGTCCATTCTATATACAGTCTATGGTCGCAATACAACGGTATTTAACTCGCATTGAAAAAATAATAATAATAAATAATGATATGGTGCAAAGATGAAGACAGAAGAGGAAGTAACAGACTGCTTGCCAGCTAGCTAAATCCCTCGGAGATATGACTCGGCACTTTCAAAAGCTGACATTCAAGGAGTTATCGATAATCCTTAAACGTAAAAGCTGGCCCCTCTTCAGGTTACAAATCAATTGAATATTTGTACTTTGTAGGTATTAATTTATATATATTTCTTCCAGTTTCTTAACTTCTCCGATCTTCTTCCGGACTCTTGACCTTGACTTTCGAAAAACAACATCTGAAAACAGGAGTTTGGACCACTGAGAAACAGTCCTATTCTTTCTTTTCATCCACGCTGTCTCTGGTTCAGGAGGGTCTTGGCAGCGGGAACACAACACTTGTAGCCCTTCAGTGTGTAGAGGCTCTTGATTCTCCGACTCCTGCCTCAGTCCACTCCTCGTAAAGCTCTCCTATAGGTTTGCATTTGTGCACATTCAGAGGCGTCTGGCTTCCTGGTGAAAACAAAACTGCCGTGAGCTTATCTAAAGTAACACTCCGTGAGATTTGCAAGGGGTTAAAAATATACTGTAGGAGAGAGGTAAAGATGAGGCAGAGGTAATTAAAAGAGTCTGCTCAAATTTTCCATAATGAAGCTACGCATGAGGGGAAAATCCAAAAACTGGAAAGAAAAAAGAAATGCATTTAAATTGTTGTAGATGAGAAATCTGCTGGCATATTTGGTCCCAATTGGGCCGGTTTAAGATTCAGCAGACAGCTTTAAATTGATTTTCACCATCTCCAGGATTTTAAATCTCCTCAATTGGCTCTTTAGGCGTCCACTGGGATCCTCCAAAAACTTATAAAATAAATACTGTTGACAAACTTTGGTAAAAACAGACAGACAGAAATTGACTTTTTATATAAGTAAACTGGATTAAAGGACAGTTTTGTGGATTTGTGAAGGGCGAATATGAGATAAACTGTCATGAACCAAAGGAAAAAAAGCTCATCTGTTTGGGTCTGAGTCTATTAATTTTGTTATTTTGTTTTATGTTATTTTGTTTTTTTTTTGTCCTTGACTGTCAAGAAACGAGGCACAGAAAGGAGGACGCAACGGCAAGACAACTAATCAGTTAGTCAAACAGACAGGGTTTAATGAGGTTCAGGCAGAGGTCGGCACACAAAAAGGCAGTCAGGTCAGGCAGAGGTATCAAAAACACGAAACAAACGGCAAGACTCGAAAAGTCAGGCAAAGGTAAACACGAAAAAATGCTGGGTTAAGACGAGAAGTGCAACGAAAAGACGAAAAGATGGTGAGACACACAGGGAGTAACGAGGGTGATGGGAAACAGGTGAGGAGACACAATCAGGAGGCAGGTGTGACAAGACGGGGGCAAGGCAGTTCAGACAGGAACAGAGCTAGAAGATAGAAACAAGGGTAAGTGATCAACAAAATAAAATAGGAAATGCGTGACATGAAACAAAACATGGATGTGCAGCAATAAAGGAAACTTAACCAACATTAATATGCTGAAAATTAAAAGAGATACTTCACATCTTCTTCTTCTTTCATGTAACGTCAGCGGTCCAACTGGGTGTCATGCAGCCATGCCAACATCTCTGGTCCTCGGTCAAAGAGGCTGGCTTCTGAAGGTGCTCTGTATAAGCGTCAGGTGCTGATTATATGGTCGGCAGTCTGGAGAAGAAGACGACAGCCTTTGTGAGGCCTTCCCTGTGAGTAACAAGAGATGGTGCAAGACCAACTTGTGAAACTAATGTCGCCAACTAAACGTCAAGCTGGCAGACCTATGAACAGGCGGATGAGCAACCATCCCGACTTCCCAAAACCGAGGCCTGTCAGTGCTTCAAATCAACGTCGAGGGTCTTACTACCGCCAAACTCGAAGTCCTACGCCACCTGGCTGATACTTGACATAAACATGATCAAATACATTCACAATCATACACCAGTGGAAGACACACACTTTAGAGCAAGGTGGGTTAAATGTCTTGCCCAAGGACACAATGAACAAACTAGGTATAGAGGGGAATCGAACCACCAACCTTCCAATTACTGGACAGCCACTCTACTTCTTGAGCTACTGCTTCCCTCATGTTATGGTCTTCATAAATTCTTCATTTTAGATCAATTCAATTTACTCAAGTTTAACACAGGAATCTGAACATGTCCAAACAACATCAAAAGACATGATCACCCAGAACGCCTCAGGAGGGAAGCGGAGACACAGTTATGATTCTTCCTGATTTCTGGGGATAACAAGATCTCAGGGTTCAACAAGTCTCTCCTCTTTCAGCAGCTTCCCGTACAAGTGTCTGACAGCCCCTTACAGTAAAAAAGAGAGAGCCCATGAGATGTCGAAATGTCAGGTCAGTTGACACGTGGTTCAGAGGATAAAAAGAGGGGAGAATGAGTGGGAGATGTGAGTGCTGTGCTGTGCTGTGGGGGAGGCTGAGTGAAAAGGCAAAGGCGCAGAGACGAAATTACAGTCGGACTATTTTAACAGCCAGAGCTGACAGTGGAATAATTCAGAGGACATTATCGAGGCAGAAAAGACAAACGTGTTACACAGCAGCTACAGAATAATGCATCTAATAATGTGATCCTTTTCTAATATCACATTTATTTCATATTAAAAAAGACACAAAATGTTGTTGCATGGGCTAATCTATTTATTGATATTTAGACCATCATTACTGACCTCTTGGATTTAAACTTGTCTTATGGTGCCACCTTGTGGTTGTAGTAAGACATTACCTCCACCTGTATTTTAGTGGAGAAGTTGCAAAGGAAAGAGTGACAACCATCATTCAACAGGACTTTGATGCTGTCTGATTATTTCAAAATAAAAGCCTGTTCAAACTTGAGGAAAGGATAATATGGCAAAATAAGAGCAGATCAAAAACAACAGGTCCTTGAAATTTTGGAAAAACTCTATTGTAAAAAGCTAAACATCAAAATTAAAAAAAATGGTCCAGTTGTTTTTATACCTTATGGATGTTTTTTTTTCCTCAATCCTCCTGAAAACTCTTGAAAGAGGTTGGGATAATGAGATCGACTGAGTGGTTGAGTTGTGTTAGGACCAACAGAGGCTGTCCAGGAAGTGTGTTCATTCAGAACCTTTATTGGGGTCAGAATCCTGGACTCTTATCCTGTACTGCCCTCTGCTGGTTATTAAAAGAAATCAAAATGCACTGCCTCTTGTCAGAGTTTTTTTCATTTGAAGTTATGCTTCAAACTTCATCTGATATTTTTATTGTAGTGATATATTCAACTTTTACAGTTTATGACTGTGAGGTTCTGTGGTTTCAGAACACGTATTGGTGCACTCTTAAGGTCCTTTCACATGGTTTCGTATCATGGTCGAATTTTCCTAAAGTTTCGTATACTGTGTGTCCACTTCTGACCAATCAGATTTCGTGTTGTTGCGACATCAGATTCACCAGTATATCCAACATGGCTGACCGGCTGATTGTTTACGTGTCAGAGAACAGAGTGCTTTTTGATTAAAGACACAAATATTACAAAGATGACGATCTAAAGGACAACTTGTGGAGAGTCATAGAGTCGGATTTCTCATATGATGATGGTTTGTGTGCTTTAACAGTTTGCTAAACGTCTTTGTTTTGACTTTCATCTGTGCTAAGTAACTTTAGCTCGTAAGCTAATCTGTTCAGAAACAACATACCATATGTATTTTCACTGTCTCAAACTCAATCGCGTTGCTGTCACAGCACCATTAGGTCTCGGTTGTTACCTTACGTTTATGGATTATAGTTTAATGTGCTTATCTGGTACTGGCCCCGACTCAGTACATGCTATCATGACAGACAGACATCTCAACACTAGTGTCTAATCAGAACTGAAAAACAGTCAGTCTGCTGTTGTGTCAGTCTTTTTTTCCCCCCAGAAAGTCGCAAAATCGCATCGCGCTTAATGTGTATAGTCAGGCGCATCAAAATTTGCCTCTGAATATTTTGTAATATCGCGTCGTATATTTGCGTTGTTCCCAGTGTGTAAGAACCAGTTGGGTAAGTTTAGATGCTGTAAATATTACAAAATAAAACCCATCAATCATGTAGCTGATAGCTTTGTTTGCTTTTGGCTCCAGTGTGAATCTCAGTTAATTTCATTAGTGTTTAAAAACTCCTGACAGGAGCTTTAATTTGGTGGAGCTTGCATGCTAATGGTTTATCTAAATACGTGATTTGAGTTTGATGTGCCAAACTGTTGAATTAACAGAAAATTACATATAAAAATATGAATAATTCATCCAACAAGATGTAGCATGGAATAATTAATGTGTCTGTTTCTTCATGTTAATTTAAAATATATGACATGGATGAATTTGAGGTTTCTTACACATGGATTTTGGACACCAGAGCACTCATGAAAAAAAGCACAAACACCAGTAATGTTTAACATAATTTATATTTATTTTCTTTTGAACAAAATGTTAATAAATGTATTTGTTTTACGTCCAAAAAAGATCATGACTCGTGGGACGCATTTTATAAATAATTTCATCCAAGTCTTTTGTAGAAAAAAAAGAAAGTAAATTAGCAAACTAAAGCATCTCTAGTATGACAATATGACAACTTTATCATAATTTTTTTCTCTATATTTGAAACCCTTTCTCAATTCAAGCTTCATTTTTTTTGTATATTTTTCTCAAGACCTCTTCATCCCATCTTTTTAACATCCAACTTAGTCCTACTCGTCAACTCACACCACTGCTTTAGACAACAGAAAAATGCGGCAAAAATCTCAAAAAACTGACGAAAACCAAGGAGGCGAACAGAAAACACAGTGAGATTCCAACAGTGGGGGGTGGGCACGGGAAGATAAGGGAGGGGTCGGCGGGGCAGGCGGCCTTTTTGGAAAATCCACATCCTTAGGACATATTTACAACAGAAAGGACAAGGGGGTGGCGATGTTGGTGACAGAGGTCTGGGAGGGCGGAAGTTGGTTTGTGGTCGGGTTCATCTGCATAGATCCACAGGACTCAGATCATGAACAGCTAGAGATCGAAGGGGACAGAGCACAAAGTGTGAGCCTGTTACATCCGCTGCTGTCTTCGAGGGAATGTAGTTCTCTTCATCACAGTTTGCCAAGGAAAACAAAGTAACGAAACAACACGCCACGAGAATATCGAGCAAAAAGGAGCGTTAACTGGGCGGGGAGTTTGGGGGGCAAGTGCGACATCCGACTCCTATGATGAGTGTGTGATAAGCAAACTGATGCTTTTTAGTCGTGAGAGAGTTAGGGTCAAGATTTGACAGGGAAAGGGGAAAAGGGGTGCACTGAAACTTTGAAAAATTTGAAACTCTAATCTGTCTACGACTGAATTTATGGTCGGTGAATCCAATTTTAACACTTTTTCAGCTTCTAAAGGGGGGCGCTTTAAGTCTTTGTAATCTCTGTGTGACTGTTCCTCGTCTCAAGGTGCACTGTTCTGGCAGCAGTCATGCAAAAAAAGAGGAAAAAAAAACTCAAGAAAGAAAATAAAAAAGGATGAATCAGCCCTTAAAAAACTCCTCATACTCCTCGCATGCTGACGCTAACACAGCCCTTTGCTAGTCTGTGAAAGATAGCAGTAGATCAGCCCATCTTAAGAGTCGACAGATTGATTGATTGATTGATTGGTCTGCTGGTCACTTTCTCCAATTTCACAAAGCAGAAAAGCCAGCTGACAGGAGTAAAGATGCCACAAAGTAGGATTCTAACGCTAGCTGTTTGTCTATATTGCTCCATTGCCAGTATCTGCCTCACTGGGCGTACGCAGCAGACTGATATCTGCTCAGTGTCTCGTGCACAAGAAGTGTCTCGCAAGCCATCTGGTGAATGTGAATTTTTACAGATTCTTAGAAAAAGATGACTTTAGATCCTTTCAAGACTTTAATCTCCGTTTACAAAAGATTCAGTGAAGCCTGATTCACTGTTTTTTAAAGTGTTTTTTATCATTTGAGACACTCACACATCCAAGCTTGAACTTCTCATAATTCCTGCTGTAGAATCTCTTGTTAATGTGCAACTGTACTCTAATCTTTCTACTAAATATCATACGCTGCAAATGTATGGCATTAGTGAAAACCAGAGGCTACAAAAGCATGACACCTGTGAACAGACTCGGAAAATAAGAACATCACCTTCATTGTTTTTCCCACAACATGACCTCTATCCACTGAGAGACCATCTTTAACTGCATTACAGCAAACAGGAACGACTGTAGCCCACGGCTTATGCATCACATGTGCTTATTGGATGAGGACAAGTGTGTCAACACATGAGAGAACTTTTGTTTCTTTCTTTCTGAAGCAAATAAACTTACAGTTTCAACATTATATCCCACATTGAAACGACTGATGATTCAAAAGTACTCTCAATCAAAGCTGTTGTGACAGGACTAAAATATGTGATTTGTGATATGTGGGTATAAGGGAGAAAAACTCATTTGTTTGAGCCTGAGTCTATTAATTTTGTTGTTTTGTTTTATTTTATTTAGTTTTTTGACCTTGAAAAGAGGCACAAAAAGGAGGACACAACAGAAAGACAATGAATCAGTTTGTCCAACAGACTGAATAATGCTGTGAAGAGAGAAGAAGTGCAACAGACTGGCGACAAGAATGTAAGGCACACAGGGTCAAATACAAGAGGTAATAACGAGGGTGATGGGAAACAGGTGGGGAGACACAATCAGGTGGCAGGTGTGACAAGAGGGGGGCAGGGCAGACCAGACAGGAACGGATCTAGAAGATAGAAACAAGGGTAAGTGATCTACAAAATAAAACAGGAAGGACATGACATGAAACATGAATGTGCAAAAATAAAGGAAACTTAAAGGGATATTCTGGCGTAAAATTTATTTAGAGTCAAACACACCGTAATGCTGATGACCGCACGATAGCAATACACAGCGGTCTGAGGAGCCATAAACAAACTTTAACCAAAACGCCACTCTATAGCCACAAATAATGATCAGAACAGCACCTAACTTCATCAACAGGACATATAGGGTCCCAGCCATAGTACTAGCCACCAAACATTTTATTACCTTTGCCTAATTTCTTTAGCAAAGAGACTAAACACAACTTGCCTACTCTCTTCCAGCAGCTGCTTGTTTGTAGCAAGACCTCAGGCCAGTCCATTATGGACTGCAGTGGGGTGCCGCAGCTCAAGGAAGAACATTTATGATCATTTCTTCATGGAAATGCAATCAGACCGAGACGCTAAGGCAGAAGAACTACCGCATCTGCAGTGCAAAATAATTAATATGGTGATTATTACTTCAAGGAAATGATAAAGTAATGATCATAAATATACTTAATAATAAAAAGGAAACTTAACCAATTAAATAACACAAGTAAAAGGAAACTTAACAGACATGACCTCGATCTCAGATTGCGTCATGATTACAAAGTCTTGTAGCATTTCCGCTTCCCAAAGTCTCCCGTGCTGAAGGCTAATTTCAGCCATTAAGACTTTTTAAGTTTTTATAATAATTCCCGATGATGTTTATTTAATTGGAATGATAAGTTGTCATTTCCCTGTGCATTCATTACCGGCTTGAGGAAATTAGATGTTGCGAAATAACTAGAACGTCTCTTATTCCCCCAATAAAGACAAGGCCAATCGCTAACTACCCAAGCTATCATGGTTGTTCTCATTTCGCCAGATTTATACTTTGCCTGATTTTAACTATTCAAGCTTTATATCAATCCTCTCCTCTACATCACATTTCTAAGCCTTATACTTTTCAAATCATTAAACTTTGTGAAATAAAACAGATGTGGAAATCCCTCTTTTTTTGATACGACATACACTTATAACTCCACCAACACCATACAGACTGATATACAGCTGCTTGTGCTTGGATAACTGCAGCTTTCAAGCATTTTTTTCCATTTATGAATAATTCCACAGTGTTTTGCATTACATTAACAGCTTTCAGCATTTCCACACATTTCTGCAGAGTAAATGCAATTTTTCTTGTTGACTATGCCGTCTTGTCTTTCTAGTAGATTACAAGTATTTTCACGTAGGGGGGCGAAGACCGATCTTTGGAGTTACTATTCCCATTTGGTTACCACTTGCCCTCCTTTTATAACTTGATGAGTCCTATTCGAAGACGGCATTATTCTTTGCTTGTCTAAGAAAAAAACCCACCAAAACCTGTATGTTTTCAAACACAGTCGGCACACATAAAGAAACTCATATTGTGGCATAAAAATTTAATGTGGTTCTCTGCTTCTATATCGAAAACACCACTGCCCCAGGAGCTCATTCGACAGAGCACACAAGACTGATGGGAAGTGACTTGTGTCCAGAGGGCACGATGTGGGACTGCAGAGTCACAGGACTGCAGCACTCAGTGTATATGTGTGCGTGTGTTCGTGTGTCTTAGTTTGTGTTGCACCTCGCTCCTGCACTTCCCTTTAGACAAAAAGAATCATGTAAACACATTACTCCTCTTCATCCTCATGCCAAACTTACTCTTCTGCGCCGTATGCACGGTGGTTACCCCAGCTGTTCCCCCTCAGGCTGCAGCAACGACAAACGCACCCTGTGAGGAGTTTTCCATCACCTTCTAACTTGCTGGTTCTGCTGCAGCGAATTTTAATGCAGACAAAGCCGGGCGTGGATTGGATGGGAGCTGAGGTGTCAATTTACCAGATGCCAGTTTGTTCAATAAATTATCCGAGACCAGAGAAGAAAGTGGGCGGCAAGACGGCAAGATGTGGGTGGGATGATGGCCACGCCAATTAATTTAGAGCGTGTGACAGCGAGAGGACAGGCTGAGCTTTTTGATGCTGGTTGGTTGGTGGCGCACTGTTTCATTTACAGACAAGAACTCATGAGTCTTTTATGTGTGTGAATGAGAAAAAGGAGCAAGGGAAGGATGACAGTATTTTACTTGTATTAGGTTTCAGTCAGAGTAAAGGTCCTTACACACCGGGAACGACGCAAATATATGACGCAAAATTACGAAATATTATTTTGATGTGCCTGACTATACACATCAGGTGCGATTTTGCGACTTTCCGAAGGGAAAAAAGACGCGTCCCGGGTGGAAGCAAGAAGACTGACACAACAGCAGACTGACTGTTTTCCAGTTCTGATTAGACTCTAGTGTTGAGATGTCTGTCTGTCATGATAGCATGTACTGAGTCGGGGCCAGTACCAGAAAAGCACATTAAACTATAATCCATAAACATAAGGTAACAACTGAGACCTAATGGTGCTGTGACAGCAACATGATTGAGTTTGAGACAGTGAAAATACATATGGTATGTTGTATCTGAACAGGTTAGCTTACGAGCTAAAGTTACTTAGCACAGATGAAAGTTAAAACAAAGACGTTTAGCAAACTGTTAAAGCACACAAACCATCGTCATATAAGAAATCCGACACTATGACTCTCCACAAGTTGTCCTTCAGGTCGTTATCTTTGTAATATTTGTGTCTTTTATCAAAAAGCACTTTGTTCTCCGACACATAAACAATCAGCCGGTCGGCCATGTTGGATATACCGGTGAATCAGACGTCGCAACAACACGCAATCTGATTGGTCAGAAGTGGACACACAGTATACGAAACTTTTAAAAAATTCAACCGTGATACGAAAAAATAAATGCCGCAATATTGCAGGATGGGAAAGCGTCACTGAAGTGAACGCTTTTATTGACAGGATACAGGTTTGAAAAAAAATATTGACGTCTGAAATAATCGCAGGAAAAAAACGCTCCCGGTGTGTCTGTCGCAATCCTAGACTGTATATACTATGGACAACTTGGTTCTGCCATCCGCCAGTATATGGATTTGAAGCCGAAAAGCTCTCGGTATTTCCGCGATTTTTCTTCATTTCCTGAAACCAACATTGTGCAGTAGCGTTGTACGCATTAGGCTGGAGAGTCGCCGAGAGTTGCTGTGATGACATTTGGGTCAAACAGCGTATTCCCTGTGTGCAATATTTTTTTTGTAGGTTGGTAGGGGAAAGTCCCCCCTACTTGGCCTCTGATTGGCTGGAAAAGCTGGAAACGTCAAAACACGCTCAGGCCAAATGCGAGCTGTCGGCTCTGTACATCGAACAGAACATTACAGAAAATTATCGCACTTCTGAATCTCCTTACCCTAACCCTAATTCTAACCCTTACCCTAACACTAACCCCTAACTTTAACCCTAATCCTAACCTTAACCCTTACCCTAACCCCTAACCCTAATCCTAACCCGATAGACGTTGACGTTTCACAGCCATGAGGAATAACCAATTGGAGCCCAGCACTTCTAGCCAATCAGAGGCGAAAGACAGCAGGACCTTTCCCTACATCTTACAAAATAAAGTTCGTCCCCCGCGTGAGCTACGCGATCTTCATACGCCCACA